TTAAATAATAAAATAAAAACAGCAGACATGTTGTGGCTGAATAATAAAAAACCTATATAAAAATATACATAATAGAATATATGAAAATATAAATAATATAAAATAAAAAGTAGATGTTATGGCTAACTAATAATAAAAAAGTATGTATATTAATACATGTATGATTAATAACAATAATAATAATATATATTAATATATGTATGATTAATTATATATATATATATATATATATATATATACTGTATATATATGCACATGTATTACAATATGAAGAAAACAGGAGACATGTTGTGGCTCAATGTAGAGGATTAGATTTCATTATACACAGCAAGTAATGGATATAAACAGTGCATGTTAATTTTTACCTTTTTGAATATTTTCTCCAGTCCAGTTTTATCTAGAAGGTCCAGCTCATGGAACTCAATCGGAGTATTCAGAAATTTCTCTATTCTTCGCAAGCTCTCTGGAACATCACCATCTCCTCAACAAAACACACATCCACAAAGAATGACAGATATATAAAAACAAAAAACATTAGAAAATACAGAGAACTACAAAAAATAGGATACATTAATTTAAATCTAAAAGTTTTGATCCCTAATTTAAAAGCAAAATTAACAATATTACTACAATATATTTAAAGGGGTCATATGATGTTGCTAAAAATTAACATTATTTAGTGTATTTGGTGTAATGTAATGTGTTTGTGGTTTAAGGTAAAAAAAAAAACATTATTTTCCACATACTGTACATTATTGTTTCTCCTCTATGCCCCGCCTTTCTGAAACGCGTCGATTTTTAAAAGCTTATCGGTCCGAAAAGCGAGGTGTGCTCTGATTGGCCAGCTATCCAGTGCGTTGTGATTGGCCGAATACCTCAAACGTGTGACGGAAATGTTACGCCCCTCACCATACTGTTGATGCCGTGTCCCGGCCGGAGCGACGAGACAAAAACATGAAATCCCATTACAAACGAGGCATTTGTTGCATCCAGTGGGGAAGGATTATAATGACTTATACTGTCTTTTTACACATTGCATCGCGCCGCGTAAACATAAAACCATGTCTGCCTTTGTGATCGGAGAAATGACAAACAACAAGCGCTACTCTACACTGCACAAAGCTCACGTTTGAATCGTCAGTGGCAAATTCTTTAAATATAAAAAAACGTACTTACAGTCTTTGAGTCAGAACAGTCAGCATTGTAGTCTACTCTCCCAGGATCAGGAAACAGTCCTCCATAAAATGTGCTGCACACATCTGAATATTTGGGTTGAACTGTACTGGAACAGTGTTGTAAATACAACTTAACCACTGATTTCTAGTCGTGTCCTCTTTTGGAAGACCAAACAAAGTAGTTTCGCTTTCACAACAAAACACAGCATCACACACGGCATCACAGAATGAGCAGAGGCCGGCAGCTAGAGTGAGGAACGGCCGGCGGGTTTGAGTGAGCGGAGGCAGGTGGGCTTGCGGCAACCACATGTGACGACTCCGGGCTGGACTCCTGTATGTCTGAGGGGAACTTACTCTTTCGATGGTATTTTTTCTTTTCCTCTTGCCTCTGTATAACGCAAATCAGGGCTCCAGACTCATTCTTCCCACTGGTCGCTCTTTTGCAACTAACTTTCTCAGCACGAGCACATGATTTGGTCGCAATATTTTATATATTTTTTTGCTCTACAACATGGGATTATTCAATGCATGCTGATGAACTTTTATCATAGTTTATAGTTATATGGAAACGAAAGTTGTTAATATTCAACCCATTCTTTATCATCAGTAGTATCACGAACATCTACACACCTTTCATTTTTTAAGACTAAAACAAAAGATGGATTCATTGTTACTCTTAATCAAAAAGCACAACAACAATAAATCAGTAAGATACAATGACATATTAGCTTACAAAACGTTTATTAACAAAAACTAATGATGAGGCATGGCACACACCACATGCTGTATTATATACCGACTAATAAATTACAGAACGTTTAGCAAACACTGAGGAATCAAAAATATAAATAAATAAATAAATAAAAGAGCGCCTCCATAGCTTAAGGTAAACAGCAAAGATAAGTTTTTCAAAAATGAAAACAAAAAGAAAAGTAAAACTAACGGTGACAGTGCTTGCATGTTTTTCCCCCCACAAGAATACCAGCATGTTCACCTTCTCTGGTTTAAGAAGCGGTCTTTTACTTGACTTTCGCTTGAAAACCATTCATCGTTTCCTCAACATGCGCGTCATTTTTGCTGCACGCGTTTCGTTATGCTTTCAGTTTCGTTTGCCCTTTGATGTTTCTCATATGCAACAGAAATTGAAGCGCGTATGAGTTGACCAACACGGTGCGACCGCACACAAAATTTAGTCGCACAGGCAGAAAAAATGGTCGCAGACTGGAGCCCTGCATATTAAAGTTCATAGGTGCAGCGCTGCTTTGTTTACAGCGGAAACCAAGAAAACGCTTTAAGCGCCACCTGCTGGCAGAAAGTGAATCTACGTCTCATTCAATTCTCTGCTGTTTCTGTTTCATGCAGATATTTTTTATGCATAGTTTCACAAAACTGAAGTCAAACCATTCTGTTTTTGCTTCAAATTTAGAAATTATACAATCTAATTTAGTTTAAAAACTGCTCATGTTGCATGTATGCAGCATCTTTGTTTGGATCAAGATTAAAATGCAGTGGTTGCCTCTAATTTTACATGGAAAGAGCACAGACAAAGCCTTAGTTTGTTTATATGAAGAGATTTATTTGATTTGTGTTATTTATTTGATTTGGTGATTGTTTTAAATTTTTAATTTAGTTTTGTTATTTACATTTACATAACATTTAAATTTTGTTATTTAGCAAACGCTTTTATCCAACAAATGAGGACAATAGAAGCAATCAAAACCAACAAAAGAGCAATAATATGTAAGTGCTATATTAATATATTATTATGGTGTTATATTTCAATTTCATAAAGAAACGTACATTATTTTGTCTAAGCAATAATAAAAGGACACATTTAATTTATAATTAGTCTTAAATCTAATTTTGTAAAAAAAAAAAAAAAGAGAAGTGAATCGAATCATGAGTTGAGTGAATCTTTACATCCCTACTCTTTGGATTTGAGACTTTAGTCTTTGCAACTTTACAGATCTTCTTTATGCTCCAAGAGCTTGTAACACTCCAAAGAGAAAGGAAAAATTGAAATCGCATTATATGACCCCTTTAAGCAAAACGTAATTATCATTTTTTTTTATAAAATACATTTTTTAAAATAAAATTAAATATACAATTAAATGCATGTTATTAATAACATTTAAAATTTCATATTTTAAAAAAAAAAGTTTAGTTACTGAGTGCATTGCTTCACCCAGCAAATAATATTACATGTAGTCCACACAAGGGCTCACTGTGTGCAGGATATATCTGAGGCTCTTTGTAATGCAGTGAGATTTACTGAGAAGGGTCTTCTTCACTATGTGTGAATTATTGAAGTCTGTTTACCTCTGACAGCATTACTGAAGTTATCAATGACCACAGGGTGATAACCAGCCTCTATGAGCTCCACAACACAGTGGCTGCCAATGTATCCAGCTCCTCCTGTCACCAAGATCTTCTGAGGCATGTTGAGAGCCTTCAGCACAGATGAAAAGAAAGACACACAAAGGTGAATTATTGTAATTACTGGTTCATTGTTAACAGATATGTGGGTGTGTTCTATTCAACCTGTACGTGAACTACGTGGCTTTACCTCCACCTGCACAATCCTGTTTCACTATGAATGGAGCTCTTTCATTTATTAATGCATGTCACATCATAGCATTAAAAACTCACCAAGATCCCCAAAACATCCAAGAGATTACTTCAATTCACTCTACCTACACTGGTACACACTGACTACACTGATATACAACACAGTAAAACTTTGAAAGTCACCTGACTGAAGGAATAAAGTAAGATCTCTTAGCTATCAGAACAAAACAAACTATACAACAGCTCACATTCAGATGTATTCACACAATACCGTGCTGATGAATGGGGATCAATGAGGGTTATTGGGGAACCCGCGGGTGACAGCAGGCGGTACAGTGACAGGCGAGCCGTTTGCTGAGTCTCTTCGGTTTATTCATTCTCACTTCCTGGTTTCAGGGACACGTGGAAGTGTGTGAAGCTGCTACTGTACGTTTGAGAAGCGTAATTCACTTTCAAAGAAAAAGTCTCTCATATTCTGGTAAAATACGGTACTAATTTATTTATTCATTTTTATTATTTATTTATTACAAGAGTATTCATTCATGCAGATTTTTTAAATAGCGACCAGCAGGCGATCAGTGTCCAGTAAATTAAAACTGTAAATGCCCTCCTAAGAGTATATTATATGTTCATTGAAATACACTCTTTGAAGACCAATGTAAGCCAATATAAATAAGGAAGGAAAAAAAACACTTTTAAGTAATATTTAAAGAAGACATTTAAGTAATATATATTTTATGTACAGCACCAACATAAAGTACGACCTAGATTAATCAAGCATTCTCACAGACACTTTTATTATAGGAAATTTACTTCTTTACTGGAGAAATAATTTCCCTTATGCCCATAACTTTCACTACTTTCATTCTTACGTGTCTGTCCTGTGGAAGTTAAATGGTCGAATAAAATAATCATGTCAGTCAGCTGGTCTTTATTCGTTTATTTCAAAACAAGAATCACTTCCATATATCAAAGACTACGTCGTAACTAAAACTGAAATTAGGAATAATATAAAAAAATAAATAGGAATAAATTTCTAACAGTGACAGAGAGAATGGATAAAATACTGGAAGCAATAATGTGTCTGTGCCAGAATAATTTTACGCAGCCACTGACATTTGAGGCCTGCTGAAACTATGATGCCTAAATGTCCCTTTCATCAACGCTTTACATATTTTCTTCTTACCAACCCTGCTGAAAAAAACAACAACAACAAAAAACAATAGAAACCATCACAGAATTTGTTATAGTTTTACTGGTTATAATGGGAATTGAGCAAGAAAAACAGACATAAACAATATAATCAAAATATTTATTTATCGATTCATGCCTTTGGAATCTTATTTTCCTTTAATATCTGCATCACACGAATAGTACTTTGGTGTCAGAGTATCAGTGATGGTTTTGGGGCTCAAAGAAAACAAAATGAAATAATCAGCTCAGTTCCTTAACCAGGCTTTAACATCAGTCATCAATTAATCAACATCAAAATGGCAAACAGACTAATTGAAACCTGCAACACCACATGAAAACCAACAGAGGGCAGAAAGGTTAACAAAACCGTAATTTTGATGGACACTCTTCATCCAACTCAAAAACCTACTTTACACAGACACTCCAGCCTTTCTCAGGAGCTGCTCAGGAGATCTATAATACTAGGACAAGCTATTCAATAGCATTCCAGTTCATTTCAGTGGGATGAATGCAGGGCTGGTGCAGGACCCCCACAAGTAAGCAACCTGTTTGCTTAGTTTTTGGGCTCAATGCTGATTGGTTAATGGCACAACAAGAAAGCACACAGTCACAAGCCCTTAAGTCCATTTGACAGCTCTTCAGTATAATATAATGAAAAAAGCAAATCATTTGTTGTTTGTGAGAAGTCAGAATAAGTGGAAGTGTTAGCAGGCCATGCTAACCAGCAAAACCTTATCTAGTCTCTAATACAAACCTCTTAGTTATTAAAAAAAAAAAATCTGATCCCATATCAACAGCTAAAGATCAACATTCAGGCCCACTTTAAGGTTACTTGAAGTTGTGTACTCCCCTCAGAGCACATACTGATGCTGTGGTGGAATTTTGAAAGCGTTCGTGATCACTATAAATGATCAGGACGTGTATATTCACAGTCTTACATCTCAAAATGACGATAGATGCTCTCTACGTATTCCAGAACTCTGTGCCAGTCTGGTGCTTCATCTAGTAGCATCTCCTCCACCGTCTGAGGAACCACAAAGAAACATTAGTCAGAAATTAACAACCACACAAAATCATATTAATATTCATATTTGCAACATTTCCATGAATTGTGTTTGAGTTATTTTTTGATTCACAATTGTGTCATCATGTTCACGATTGTTATTATGTTCAGCCAATCATGTCTGAGGCATTTACATATCCATTCAGTCATGTTTGAGTAATTCTCATGTTCAGCCAATCATTTCTGAGCCAATTCATATCATATATCAATCATATAAGTTATTCACATATCTATTCAATCATGATTGAGTCATTTTCACATCTGGCCTGTCAAGTTTCTCATTCTCATCTGATCCGATAGCTGACAGATTCTTTTCTTTCTTTCTTTTCAAGCTGGAACTAATTAATAGTGCATTGGTTGATTTGTTTGGTGGTGGAATCAGGGTGTAGTAATCAAATGATTGAGTTACGAAATTGAATACAACTGTTTAGAAAAAAAATTTAAGTTCACTCACCAGTGATGTAGAGATTCCAAAACCTTCTCCAGTTTGGAATGCTAGAATGAGATTCTCTTTCTGTGGATAAGATCATCATCAACATCATCATAACAACCCTTATGTTAATATGTTTGTATGCAAGCCATGTGTATGAAGTGTATATTACCTTATTCTCTGGACTGAGTTTGTCATATGGTATGTGAGAGGGGAGGTAACTGTGGTAAATCGCACAAAAGGCCAAACCATCCACCCAGCAACTGCTGAAATTAGTGATCTCAATATTCTGAGAGAAAGACAGGAGGCATCAAAATTTAGTTATTTATTTATACGTTTATTTGAATAGGGACAATACAATAACCATAATTCCAGTCAAAGACTGGAAAAACATGCACTGCACATAGAGATTATAGCTGACGCTAATTTGCATCTTATGTCCCTAGAAAGGCTTTTCTAAAAAATTAATACATATATAAATAACCAAAATAATTATAATAAAATAACTATCTGTAGCCTACCAAAACAAACATACAAACAAACAAAAAACTTGACCAAGTTTTATAGACTCTTCCAGTCCTAATAAATAACTAGTAAGGAAGCATATTAAAATATAAATATGCGCGTCTGGTTTATTTTGAGCCAACGCTTAACCATCAATGTAAAAGACTTTATATCATGTATCACTTTAAACTCATTTGGCAACATATTCCAAAATTGGGATCCCTTTACAGAAAATGCTCTTCGCCCTTGTGATGTTCTACAAAACCCAATCCTACAATTTCCAACCTCTGTGCTCCTAGTGGTTCGGCCTATATCATCGTGTCTCTTTATCATATAACAGAAGGTGCCTTATTATGCAAGCATTTAAAAATCAATTTCACGTATGATACATTTTTTAAATTCATAAAACTAAGCATATGCCATTTCTTTAAAATATGACAGTGATGCCATTGAGTTGTTTTTTAATCCACTATTTTTAAAGCCCGATTATACAGCATCTCAATTTTTCTAATTAAAGAGTCAGTAGTTTGAGACCACACTGTAATACAATATGAGATACGGGACAAAATCATTGTATGCAGGAAGGAACAGATGAGCTGCCTCAGTCGTAATGTAATGCCTAATAAGTTTAAAACAATTTAAGTTCATCTTAACTATTTTTGAAAGTCTTTTTATATGTTTGTCAAATTCAAATTGTGAATCCAGAACTACTCCTAAAAAACTAACTTCATCTACTTTCTATTAGAAAAACACATAAAAACAGTATTCTTAAAATTTTATGTAAATAAGAGAAAATAAGAGAGACAGGCAGATATTCTACATATATCTATTCTACATAGTCCAATTTTATTGTATAATATTTTTCTGGCCAAGAACCACCCACTTAGACAGGAAGAGACTGGGGGATTGACATACATTTTCTTCTGCTGTTTGGTTGTATCTCAAATAGTTTGTACCACAGTAATATACCTGCATAGAAAAAGGTGATTTAAATAATGGTGTGGCAGTCTTCATGAATGGTTGTACAGACAAAAATAATCAGCCGAATCAAATATAATAAATGCAGAAGAAAAAAAAGTCCCTATTATTTCACAGATATAATTTAAAAGCACAACAGAATATACATATGCACCACAGTTTAAAATATTTTTGAAAGAAGTCTTTTATGTTCACAGAGGCTGCATGCATTTGATCAAAAATACAGTAAAACAGTAATATTGTGAAACATTTTACTATTTAATTTTTACTATTTATTTTACTATTTAACTGTTTTCTATTTTAATTTATTTTCAAATGTAATTTATTCCTGTGATGGCAAAGCTGAATTTTCAGCAGCCATTACTCCAGTCTTCAGTGTCATGTCATCCTTCAGAAATCGTGCTGCTTAATATTTGTGTGGAAATCATGATACATTTTTCCCCCCAGGATTCTTTGATCAATAGAAAGTTCAAAAGAATGGCATTTATTTAAACTAGAATTTTTGTAACATTATAAATGTCTTTACTGTGACTTTTCATTCATTTAATGCAGTGGTTCTTAATCCTGGTCCTCGCGTCCCCCCGCTCTGCACATTTTGTATTTTCTTTTATCGCTTCAGAGGTTTGTTCCATTCGACCTTAAGTGCCCTGTGATGTCCACTTCAGGAGCAGGCAGCGGTGTAGCGGTGCAGCGGTATAGCGTAAATTCGTGTTCTAAAGTGAAGTAAACTTCAGCTGATTTTTTTTGTGCAGGGAGTAGAGAGCAGTGAACACTGTGTAGGGACCATGTCATTCGGAACAAAGTTCATTCATGGAGCTCTCTTCTAACGAGCTGGTGATTTAAATCAAGTGTGTTAAACAAGAGAGACATGCAAAATATGCAGAGCTGGGGGGGTCGCGAGGACCAGGATTAAGAACCACTGATGAAAGTGAAGTGACATGTGGCCAAGTATGGTGACCCATACTCGGAATTTGTGCTCTGCATTTAACCCATCCAAGTGCACACACACAGTAGTGAACACACACCCGGAGCAGTGGGCAGCCTTTATTTTTTTGCTGCGGCGCCCGGGGAGCAGTTGGGGGTTCAGTGCCTTGCTCAAGGGTCTCACCTCAGTCGTGGTATTAAAGGTGGAAGAGAGTGGTGGTTATTCACTCCCCCCCACCGACAATTCCTGCCAGACCTGAGACTCGAACCCACAACCTTCAAGTCCGACTGATTTAATGCATCTTTGCTGAATAAATACAAAAAAATCTAAAAATAAATATACAAATTTTGCTACATAAATGATACATTTCTTTACAAAAGTTGTACTGACTCCAAACTTGTACATCTAGTTGACTTGCTATTAAGTGCCTCAAAAAAAAAAAGTGAACTTTGGGAAATTCAGTATTTGTTGCTTCAACCCAGTAACTTATAAACACAATTTCCAGGCTTCCTTTTGCAGACTGGTAAAAAAAACCCTGTGTGTCAGACTAGAGCTTTCCAGAAAAAGTGCTTTTCAGTTGTGTGTACAATGTGCATCAAACAGTCAGTGAAAGGATTGTAGGTGGCCCTGTCACGAATCCGGTCCATGAACTTCCATCTGCTAGCCATCAGAGGTCACCCTTTCCGATTTCATTGACTCTCGCACTACACACTGTTGCACATCACCCCGGACTACATATCCCATCATTCATTGCACTGATTGCACTCAGCTAGGATTGCACACAGCTGTTAACACTGATTGCACCCAGCTGTTTCATATCACTCCCTCACTATTTAACACTCACTCTGATCCCTTCCCTCTGCCGAGTATTGTTTAGCGCATATCTCAGATAGCTACACTACAGAGCCCTCATGTGTGTCCCAGCCTTAGCCTTAGCCTTAGCCTTAGCCTTAGCCTTAGCCTTAGCCTTAGCCTTAGCCTTAGCCTTAGCCTTAGCCTTAGCCTTAGCCTTAGCCTTAGCCTTAGCCTTAGCCTTAGCCTTAGCCTTAGCCTTAGCCTTAGCCTTAGCCTTAGCCTTAGCCTTAGCCTTAGCCTTAGCCTTAGCCTTAGCCTTAGCCGTTTTTCCGGGTTTTAGATCTTCGCCTGTTTTCCTGGATTTCTCCCTTTAGCCTTGCCCCTGTGACTCTGTCTGCCAATCGTCGACCCACGCTAGCCCTAGGATTATTCTTGTGTCTTGCCCGCCATATACCTGTTTGCCACTGTTTGACCCTGCCTGTCTTATGACCATGTCTCTGTCTTCTCCAAATAAAGCTTTGCTTATGGATCTGCACGTCTCACGTCTTGTCAGCCCCGTTACAGGTCCATGCTGTTTGAGGCTGAGACTAGGGGGCGTGTGGCTGCCAAGTTTGATCTGTCAGTTGTTTGGTTGAATTCAGTACCTTGTATCCCTGAGTTCTGCCTTGACACCAGCAAAGCAGGGAGTTCCGCCTGGAGCTGCCATGAAGCCTCAGTGACCTGAGTCCTGATGGGAAATCCTCCTGTGTCCTGATGGGAAAGGAGATGGATGTCAGTTCTCCATTCTTTGACAATCATTATAATATTTCTCATGAACGAACAGTGGAAAAAGAGGTAACAATGTTTGATTCACCTTGTCCTGTTGATCTTATTTGTCACATCTAAAACTGAAGAGTTGCATGTCTGTAGGACTGATTTCTCCACTTTCTTATCTGTTGGACATGCATAGACACGCACACAGAATAAATCATTTGTGCCCGTATGAGTCTGGTATGCTAGCAAAGGAACAAATATTTAATGAAATCTAGTCAACGGGATATTGTGCAAATGAAATTCCTGTTTACTCACCTCTATTGGAGATGGTCTTGTTGCTCTGTTGGTCTAAACTTGCTGCTTGAGCCTTGCTCTGAAAAGTCTGAAATTATTAGACACTGTTTACTGATATTTACTGTTAAATATTTGACTTTTTTTACTCACAGATTCTGTTGCCATAGTAACTGAGGGTAGGGAAGTCCCATTTACAACAACATCAGGGTAATCTGAGGGCAGTCGACACAGGCTCCTGCAAAATGATGGAATGCTCCATGAATGTAACATAGGTCACACTGTCTCTTTGACAGACTGTGGGCTGTAAACAATGAATCATTTAGAATCACTAAACAATGTTCTATATGGGACAAATCATATATGTGAGGCATGCAACAAATGTGATTCACAATGATTTTTTGATGGAACTCACTGAATGAACACAAACATGAATCATACTGAATCAGAATCCATTCTTTGATTCTGTTGGGAATTGAGAATACTTCAGATTCCAAAGGTGGGAATCTATTCCATTCAGACGAATTGACTTGACTCTAACAAGTTCAGACGAGACAGGTCCGTTACCTTGATTTCCAAACAATACATGTCCCACATAAGCCTTAAGAGCTAGTAGAGAGGATTTTGATTCACATTATTGATTTGAATCTTTTGATTTAGATCACCAAAAACTGATTTATTCTGTGACTGTTCCACAATTACATCAGTAGGTTGCAATGAGTAAGAATCAGTTTGAGTACTGAGTGATTAATTCAATAATTCACTCAACAGATTCATTCCAGTTTTTTAACCAAAACACCATCCAAGCACTAATTTAAAATATTAAGGAGAGGCAGCTAAAAGATATAGACATTTGTACTGTTAATCATAATATTGTAAAGTATATTGTTAACACTTTACTACAATAAGGTTACTGTACTTTGTTAACATTAGTTAACTACACATGCAAACATTAATTAACAATGAACACATTAACCTTCATGTTACTTTTAACATTCACTAATAAATTCTTAAAATCAAAAGATGTATCTGTTAATATTATTTAATGGACCTTATCTGATATGAACTGACAATGATGAGATGCATTTGTATTAACTAACGTTAACAAAGATCAGTAAATACTGTAACAAATATTTTGCACATTGTTAGTTAATGCATCAACTAAAGTCAACTAAGTCAACTAGTTATTGTAAAGTATTACCAGTATACTTTATAGTAAATATTTATATTGTACATTTATTCAATCTCAAAACTTGAGCCTTTGTAAGTATAGGATTCATTTTTGGCAATATTTGACATAACAGGATAACTTTACCTTTTGACATAACTGGATAACTTTACCTTGACCTCTCTGTAGTACCAGAGATGTGTATTTCTCTTTTTCCCTTCATCTCATTTGTCCACAGTTGATCTTGTTTCTCTAGGCCCCTCATCACCGGCTCCCCCTGGTGGCTGTCTGTGACCTGCTTCAGTTTCTGCTTGCTTTGCTCCAACTCAACTCTGAGGCTCTCCAATTGACTTTCGAACTCCTGGCGATCCTGCAAGGCATTGGCTAGCTGTGTGTCCATGTCCTGCCTTGCTGCTCTTAAAGTATTTCGCTCTTCCTCAGCTTCTGCCCTCAGTCTGTCTGATACCACTAGCGCCACCTTCAGGTCAGACTGGAATTGCTGCCACTCCTCACGTTCTGCCTAAAGAAAGAGATAACAATAATAGTTATATTAATCGGTCATAATTTTAAATATTATATATATAATTCAATAGTTAAAATAAATTGTTATAAATAATTAAAATATTGCTTTATAAAATGTTTTATAATGAAATAAAAACATACAATATATTAAACAATTTATATCATATTTGATAGGAACATTGCTGTTCACACATGCCAAAAAACCTGTTCCTCAAGGTATCTTTACTCTATTACAAAATACACAGTATTACTAGGAGGAAGTGGCTTTCTGGTCTTTGAGAGCAGAGCAGTTGACTGAGGATATGAATGTTTTCCTCTTGGATATTGCTGTAACTCAGCTGTGAGTCAATGAGGTGAAAAGGTTTGTTGTGAATCTCACCGCTATGGTGATCATACTGTGCTGCTGTCCACCTCTCACTGTTTGCTAAACACACACTTACACACAATATGCTTACATTAAACTCCACTCTTAGAAATCTGAGCTTGTTCTGCACGTCTCAGCAAGATCAGTAACGAGTCCTCTTTCAAAGACATGAAACGTATCCTGTACTATTTACTTGCAGTGGTCCAGGGCCATTTCATATTTACACACACACACACACACACACACACACACACACACACACACACACACACACAGGAATCTTCCTCCGCTTGCAGCCTTGAGCATGTCCTGGCGATAAAGTGATTTCTCAATAGTTAGATGTCAAGAAATACAAGAGTGATTCCCTAGAATGATAACACATATGTAAAACACACACAACTTAGTTTCATAATCACAATCTAAAAACACCATGACCGATCTTTCTTTCTCTCTCTTTCATCATCTATTTCATTTCATGCCTCTCTCTTTCATTAGAACTGACTGAAACTCTGTTGATTCTGCCAAAGATAGAAAATGACTCAAATAAAGACAAACAACTGACTTATCAAAGTGAGTCATTATTGTGCAAATCTTCACAATAACCAAAAAAACAAAACAAAACAAAAAACGGACAGAAAAAGATGAGTACAATAAGCAGGTAAAGTCATTTAGGACAAAAGATGCCAAAGTGGGGGGACATTCAAAAGAAATTCTAAAAAAAGAAAATAAATTAGAATTAGATGAAAGGGTGGAGAACTACTAATTACTATACAGGTGCATCTCAATAAATTCAATAAATTATTTCAGTAATTCAACTCAAATTGTGAAACTCGTGTATTAAATAAATTCAGTGCACACAGACTGAAGTAATTTAAGTCTTTGGTTCTTTTAATTGTGATGATTTTGGCTCACATTTAACAAATGTTGAGAAAGAGACATAAGACCAGTTGGAAGACTGCCAATTATTGAGCTATTATTTTGTGAGGGAAAAAAATAAAATAAACTATACATTAAATATAAATACTGGTATGTTAACTTCAACCAAAGTTATACAATTACATTCTATAATGATTATTTTTAATAGTTTTACAATGTAAGCATTAAAGTATGAAAATACATTGATACTATATGCATGTTAGTGTAGGCCAGACGTTACTACCTTAGCCTGAAAAAGGTTGTAGACCCTAGCTGTGTCTAAACAAATAACACTGAAGGAGGATGGAAATAGAGTAGGAGGAGAGAGAGAGAGCAGGGAAAGTCTCAGGACCCTCTTCATCACTCTGTAGCCTCCAGACCCCAGCTGGAGTTGATTATTGCAAGAATACACAACATTACACTTTCTCTGACACACATAAGAGTCTATCTGATATAGGAACACAGACATTGGGAGGTATTTAAGTATTTATGTGCTCTCTAAAATGTGTAATGTGTTTAAAAAATGTGTTTTAAATTTTAAACCCTTTTAAAATATTTGGCAAAGCACAATGTAAAATTGTTGACTGCACATTTAGTGTAGCAGCATAGCTTTGTATAATTTTGTAAATAGTATTTTATGCACTACAACTACTAACTTATTGATGTTACAATTTAAATTTCAATCCAATATTATATTTCTTGCTTCTGAAATTCATTAAAGAATACATTACGTCTTATCATATCTGAACAGATTTCAAAACACTAGGCATCATACATCTGCTGATTTTGTAAATGGCTACAGCAAAAAATAAATAAAAATGGACATATACACTAAACAACTGAGAATCAGACATTCAGAACAAGAAAACTCAGGCACAAACATGCAGCTTGTTGCAAGGAGACCCATGGCAAATGAAAACAATGTTTCCTAAAATCAGCTCAAAATATCAAACATATTTGATATCCTCAGACTGGACGGAATCAGTCAGAAGCTAAAAAAGAGTGTGTCTCAAACTGTCTCTGAATTTGTTCTCTGCAACTAGCATCAGGGCAAAAGTTGTGTAGTGTATTCCAGCCCTTATAGGAAATGAAAAGACTAATGAATATTAGTTAAGAAAACACATCCTCAATGACTTCATAATAAGAACGGTCTGTCACAGGAGGGATTTCCAATCATTTTCCCTTATGATGCAAAAAAAAAGCTTTTCCTATTAGCCTGTTTAATTCCTGAAGCATTTGCCCTGAAAGGACACTTCATTTTATTGATGAATAAGAACTGAGTGAAACGGCATTAACACATGTTGGCAATCATCCAACCTTGTTAAAGTCATTAAATTCTGTCTTTCTCTTGCTCACACTCACAGCTTTCCAGTCATCCAGACAGGACAGAAAATGACCCCACCTCTCTCTCTCTCTCTCTGGACAGTGGTGATGTTTTAGACATCAGCTCAATGACTCAAAGGATTTCTAAGGAAGTACCACACCCATGATGATAAGAAGTTGTTGCTCTTCTTTTGGGGACCTTCGTACATTCTGTGTGGGCCTGGATAGAGTGTAATTCTCTCGCCCTACTTGACAAGAATACACTTGACTACATTATCGCTACACTCTACTACACACACACAGAAAAGCGCCCACAGACAAGTGTGTCTGACACAATTGCCTAATACATTGGTTAAAGCTTTTTCCAGCGAACCCAAAGTCAGCGTGTGACTCCTGCATTCAGCGCAGTCCATCTGGAACTGATCCCCCAGCTTCTTACGGTTATAATGTGTGCGTGTAAGATTGAAACAAAAACTGCAGATGAAGGGACCCACCACCACCCATCAGACACACACACACCCATAACATATTTTATACTCTGTGAGTACAGTCATTGTTAGCACATGGGTTTTTAGCATTTTAGCAACGTCCAGCAGAGCGAGAGAGAGCTTGTTGACACAGCGTGAGAGAATCAGGTCAAAATGAACCTGGGAATATTCCAAAGAGTGACTCTAAATCTTGTGAATATGAAGTGAGTGAATATGAGAGTTGTGTGGTAGCATGCAAGAAAGTCATATGCATAATGCATAATAGAATATCTGAAGGATCTAATACACGTTGTGCATCATCTCTGTCTTTTGGAGAAAGCGCACAACAGCGAGGCCAAGTGTAGCCTGAGAAACATGTACAGTACACATGCTAGATGAAGTCATGCTACAATTGCATTACCGAGCTTTGTCAGTCTGAAAATAAAAATAGGAAAACCTATGCAAAACAATGATTTCAGTCAGACTAATGTGTCAATATGACAATTTAAAGTCAACATGAACCAGAAATTACGACTGACTTTTCTCCTGTATTTTGATGTATATCCTTGTGAAACGGCATCTCGAAAGATGTATGTACAGCAGGACTTTTTATGGGAATTTATTGAATTGTTGACACTTGCTAATTGCTGTGGTTGTTGGAGGTGATGGATTATTGTCCTGCACTTGCACCAGTGCACACGTCATCAGAGAACAGATGCCATTGTGAGAGGGAGGGGAAGTTAATTTTTCATTAAAGATCAAGATATGAGGGCACATGATATGCACAGATAAATAATTTATAATAAACATTCCATAAAAAATAAGAGTTGTGGATTTTGATTTGGTGACATTAAAAAGATCAGAACTGGTCCTCTGACTGAGCCTGGTTTCTCCCAAGGTTTGGGTTCCTTGCCACTGTGACTTTTGTCTTGCTTACTTGGGGTCTAAAAGGCACTTAATATTCAGCAATATAATTTAACTGCACTGACACTACTGGATGAGAACAAAACTTAAACTAAATTGTGCTGAATAATTACACTATTGTCTTGTTTCATTTCATGAATTAACTTTAGACAGTTATTGAAGTGAACTGAACCAACACTGAACTGAATCGAGCTGAATAATGACATTATTGTCTTGCCACAATTTGGATTTGTCTCATTTTTGAAGTTTGCATGATTAATTCTGTTAAATTCCTGTATAATACTGTAAAGCTGCTTTGAAATTATCTCGAAAAAAGTGCTATAAAATAAAGGTGACTTGACTCGTCCTATTATTAATTTAGTTCAGCTAAGTTCATGTAAGTGTGATTAGTGGCTGAGTTGAATGGTAAAGTTATGTCCACTTACAGAAGGCTGGGTAAGAACACACACTCACTCTGTTGTTTTGTCAGTGAGTCGTTACATGCGGACTTCTGCTGTCATAGTGGCTAAACAAAAAAGTTTTGTTCTTGCAAGAGCTGAACAGAATTCCCCACATCCCCCTCAGTTATCTCCCGTTCACTCCCTGTTTCCATCTGCGTCTCAAACACTCCTACTTCTGCAAGCCTTACACCCTGTACAGCTACTTTTAGACCCAGAGGACTGTCCTCCTGTTTAAATGTTTCTATAACTAATTTGAATCTTTCTCTTTCTTTCATACTAAATCTATCTATTCAGAAATCTATGCAAGGGATAATGATTTTCTTTGCTGTCCCTCTCTTTATCAATTTTTCTCTTTTCTGCCCCCTCCCTCTCTTCCTCTCCTCATTCCAGTCAAAAATAGATTTCTTGAGACTACCAGTTTAGGCCCATGTTAGCAGAACCATAACATAAACACACACGCTCACAAAAACAATGTCCATTCCTCAGCTAGGTCAGGAAAGGAGTCATTTGTAGGATTGCATGTCCCATAAGCCTTTGCTGAAGCTAACAGGCTGTTACCAGACAATCCTTGACCTGCACCTCTGGGAACAATGTGACTTCCTGTTGCATTTTCCTCTGTCTTCAAAAGAGCAAATTATAGAAACCAAAGTGTCAAGCACAAACTGAGTGTCAGGGTTTGGAGCAGCTGAGAGTATGTATGCTACAAAAAGAAGCAAGTGTGATTCACCTGAATCTTTTCTTTACAGCTTCTCAATTCCTCCTTCATCTTCTCCCTCTCCACCAGAAAACATTTTAACAGATCTGAAAAACATAAAAAAGTGATTCTCATTATTAATCACATTATAAATTATATAAGTATTTGCTAAGCACATAATAAAGCAATATGCCACTAAAGGAAGTGTGTTACATTAAGTTTACCACAGTGGTAAAACCACTCCAATGCATGACATTAAATGGTTTATTGCCTTTATAACCACAGCAACAGCAATATGATAAAAGTGATACAAATGTTTAATAAACAATCTACATTTGTGAATAAAAATCTATAAAGTTATTAGTGGTTTTCAAGATGTTTTTCTTCATTTAAGTGGCAACCCAACAAAGAAAATTAACAAAAATGCAAATGAATGCGCCAAATATAAATATATGCTTATTTGGTTAACTGCATTTTATTATTTGCATTTAGCATTTTTTCCTCCTCGCTGTTCATGATCAGAACAGACCAGCGACACCAGTTGAGACCCACAAGTGAACATACAGTAATACATTTAGAATGTTATTACTTCCTCAACATGTTTAAGAGTGTATGCAGTTTGTGTAAATATGTGCATGCTTTAATTAAAGGGGTCACATGATGCGATTTCAAGTTTTCCTTTCTCTTTGGAGGGTTACAAGCTGTTCGTGAATAGATAAGATGCCTAAAGTTGCAAAGACTAGTCTCAAACCCAAAGATATATTCTTTATAAAAGTTAAGACTCGTCCACACCCTCCTAAAACGGCTCGTTCTAACACGCCCCCACATGTCTACGTCACGATGTGGGAAGATTTGCATAACACTGCCCAAATGTTCACGCAAAGAAAGAAGGCGTAACTTTATTGTTGCTGCTAGTGATGGGAAGTTCAGATCATTTTACCGACTCGGACCTTTGAGTCTCATTCAGCAAAATGAACGAATCTTTTTTCGAGTCATTTCGTTCATTTTAGCAAAATATAATTAAATTGTTACGTGTTACTTCCCTAACTCGTCTACTACTGACGCAAACGTTCATCAGACTACAAACAATACAAAACTATAATGCTATAAGAAACAGAAAAGATTAATTCATTGTTTACCTGGGTCTTCAGTCTATGATTAGCTCACCTCACCTCTTATCTGACAAGTCTTCGGGTTTGAGTCTTTCGTTCATCACGTGACAGTGCCATAAGCTTTAACCTATGCGGTCTGAGCCGGAAAGAGAACTGATTAGTTCATCTCTCGAGTCTTTCGAATCGTTCGTTTTTTTGTCACGTGACGTGACAGCATTGGATAGAGAAATTAGTTAATTAACAAACTTCCTTATAAACGGGTGCATAGTTATTATTATTAATATCATTATTATTTACTCTTACAGTTACGTGATGCGTTTCTGG